TTAAATTAAAAGAAGACAAAAATGATAGCTACCCAAAACATTTATTTAGTAACCTAGATCAAACTGGGCTAGAAGGGTTAAATCGCTTGCTTTTTTTTTCTATCTATATTTTGAGGAAATTTGGTGATTGGATACTGTGATTTATGCTATAATCCACAAAATCTTTTTTTCCTGGGTAATTTTCGTTAGTTTATTGATTCATTGGTTAACAATTTCCAATAGTGATTGCCTTGTTTATTTTCTGCTTTTTCCTAGTGTTACATCCAAATAAGAATAATGAGCAAATTTCTTCAGTTGAATCACATACAATTGATTAGATATAATGTTAGCTGAATCATATGAGATTGTCTTTTTTGTAGGTCCAAAATAAACAAATAGTGGAAATTTCGTATGATCCAACCAGAAAATGTTAGTAACGGCAGAATTGTATCTAAACTGTCTTTGCGATCACTCTATTCCAATCATTCCTTCCCCTTCCAGTCATTCTGTTTGCTCAAACTGCCCTGTCCCCTTCATTAGTTTAATTTCTGTTTCTTGTTTTGTTTTGCTTTTAAAGTACATTGTTTAATACTAAGTTCTCCAGAGGAAAGGCCCATCCAACATACTCCCCAAATAAACCATTAAGTGAATTTAATATTATGGAAATATCTCGATTTCCTTCATTCATCTACTTTTTAATTCATCCGACAATACTTATTGATACTTATTGCACAGTGGCTCTGCTCCAGGTGCTGTGCTAAGTGCTGGGTACAGCCGTGAGCATGACAGGGATGCCTGTTTTGTCAGGGAACTTAGAGTCATGTTTTAGGCTGAAGGACATGTTGTGTATATGCGGGGACTAACAAGGTCATTTTGTTTCAACCAAAAGGTCAAATGACCTTTAATTTTTTTTTTTTTTTTTTTAGTTGAAGTCCTACTCTGTCACCCAAGCTGTAGTGGAGTGGCACACTCACGGTCACCTCCACATTGACCTGCTGAGCTCAGGTGATCATTTTGCCTCAGCCTTCCAAGTAGCTGAAACTATAGGTACACGCTACCACGCCTAGCTAATTTTTTAAATTTTTAAATTTTTTACTGTAGTGATGAGGTCTCACCGTGTTACCCAGGCTTGTCTTGAACCCATGGGCTCAGGCAATCCTCTTGCCTCAGCCTCCCAAAGTGCTTGAGCCACTGTGCCCGGTCTGGTTTAATTTTTTAACCAAATTGACTGAATGCTCGCTCAATTTGATTAGTATCTCCATTTTAATGTTAATAAGAACTAACCTTGGCCCAAGCAGAGCTAAAATATTTATTTTAAACTCTAGCTGACCCATAAGGCTTAGGAAGTCAGCTCTAATCCAAGGAAGTTCCCTCATGGCACCCGAACCCTTCTAAATAAAGCACTAGACACAGTGTTGGGTGACTTTTGATAGTAAAAGTGTATCTCCACTAAAAATTAAATCTAACTTTTTAAAGAACAAATGCAAAAATAAAAAGAATTTGTAAATGAACATGGTAGTGGTTATTCACACAAGCCAGAGCCTCCCGGGACTGTTTCAGGGAGATGTTTAAGCAGTTGTGGTCTTGGGCCAGCAAGTCTGAGAAAAATTAAGTAGCTCATTGGATGAACAGAGCCAGGGGACTGGAGGTCAAAACGACTGCTGGTGAAAATACCATCCATGAAAAACTTGTGCTGGCATCACTTAGAAACCTGCTCAAGTCAACCTCCTAGCAGTTTTAGCAAAGATTTCGTGTTCAAGGAGTCTGATGTGGACACCTAGTCACCTTGCCCCGCGCCAGTCATTCAGCCTCAGAGTCTGATGGCCTGGCCAAGGATAACCGAATGGGTTTTGTTTCTAATTTCCTCCCTCTTAACTGTTTATATTATGTATTTTTCAGACATACATTCACTTTGGGACAACATTCCCCTACAGAATAAGAGGCTTTAGAAAATTAAAGTGTGGATGTAGCAGTCATCCAATGATCAGAGAAGCTTTAGTCCTCGCCCGCCATGGAGCTTGCCCCTGAGATTACTGTGTGTTCTGTGTTGGGATGGGGTTGTCCCCAAATCAGAAGAGGGTTGAGCTGGATTTCAGCAGATGGAGAAAATGCCCCCTGTGGCTCTACAACCCATCAAGAGCAAATTAAGAATCCCAGCCCTGGACTTCCATCTCCTGTCCCGGAGTTTTGAGAACAAGAAGACAGTCCAAGTTGTAATAATAGCAATAATAAATACAACTTCCATTTATGGGCTGTCTACTGTATTGGGCACCTGACATTCACTTCTCACATTCACATCTCTGCAAAGAATGTGTTATTTTCCTTTCTTTAGAAGTGAGAAAACTGAGGCCTAAAGAGGTTAAATGACTCGCCTAATGTTGCACAGCTAGGAATCGGCAGTCCTAGGACTCCATCTGTGACTGGCCTGAGTCTTCACCACGTCCAGCCGCCTTTCTGAAAGCAGAGCCACTCACAACCCTGGGAGGCTTCTTTCTGGAGGCTGCATGTCAGAGTGGCAACTGCATACCAGAGAAAAGACAGAGGCCACACTGACCGCTAGGCACACTCTTGGCCCTGTGGGGCAGGGATTTCGGGCACTGAGGAGCTGAGGGTTCTGCAGGCAGAAGTGCACCCATGCACTAAGATAAGTCACATCATCTTAGCAGCTTCAGACCCTGGTGACCAGCTTGGCAGACTCCAGTTCAGGGAGGCCTCCCCCTGTGGACAGACTAATTAGGCCATCATTTGCTTTGATCCTAATGATCCGAGCATTTCCAAAGAAATGCAAATGGAGCACATTTACATGTTAACAGGGTTTAGTGGATGGGTCACTTAGCTGAGCAAGAAACGGGAGAAGATCTCACCCAAATCCTGTGAGCAGTCTTTCCTCCTGGGAATTGGTGGAGGATTCCCTCTCAGGCAACGAGAACACCATGAGCCCTGGGGTGGAGGTCACTCTGAGTCGCCCCTTGCCTTTGCACCTTGTTTCTGGGCTAGGACACTTCAAAAAACTTTTGTCTATTAGTTTTATCATTTATCGATTGATTGATTGCAGTGGCATGTTCACGGCTTGCCTCAGCCTCAACCTCCTGGGGTCAGACGATTCTCCCACCTCCATCTCCACAGTAGCTGGCACTACAGTCTTGGGCCACCACACCCAGCTGATTTTTTGATTTTCTGATTTTTTTATTTTCGGGGCTATGTTGCCCAGGCTGGTCATTCAGGGACTTAAGCAATCCTCCCACCTCGGCCTCCCAAAGTGCTGGGTTTACAGGCATGAGCCGCAGCGCCTGGCCAGTTTTTGCCTAAAAAATAGCTAAAATGTCAGTCCTAACAGAGACGAAGTAAATGGCCCTGAGAAATAAACAATCCAGCCAGTGTGAATTTTTTGCCTCCTGTTCCTATTTGTAGAAGTAGGGCATGGCCCCCAACTTTGCTGGGTGGGTTTCTGTTTGCCACGCCTGGTGGCCACCACACCCCTATCAAGCTTTCATTTTTCTTTCTAACTCCACTTTGCCGCTGCCTTAGTCTCAAAACCCAACATAAGCGAACCACATAGGAGACTCAAGGTGAAGGCCCCGAAAGACTAAATGATCTCCCTGGTGGTCTCCCAAGCCTGAAGCCCAGCGTCTGAAGCTATTGCCCCCAGCTGTTTTTCCCTGAATCACTGACTTTCCTGGCTGTTCTGGTTCCTCCTGTCCCCTGCCAGCAAAGACCCGCTGCTCTGAGCTGTCTCCGGTGCCCTCACTCCCCAGCACTGGGTGATTCATACCCACCAAGGCCCTTCTGAGAAGAGAGCTAGGATCTTACACAAAACCCTGTGATTACACAGTCCTTGGAATCCCCGACATGCCACCCAGAGCTGTGCCACGCTTCCTGGTGAGAACAGAAGTGCCAAAGGCCTCTCCCACCATCCTGATGCTAAACAGACTCCCACACTGAGCTATCAAGGGGGAAGGATGTTTGTTTGTGACCACCTTCCCTGTTTCTTTAGATCCAAATACAGCTCACCCCACTTCTTGTAAAAATGCCACAACGCCAATCTCCTAAATAGTCCCTTTGTCTTCTTTTCACTTGCGTCCTTCCTAATATCTGGGCTAGAAAACATGGTGGAAGCTAAAGGCTTGTAGAAACCCGGGCTCCCACGAAGGGGAAGGAGGTGAGGAGCAAGTTTTCTTGATGCCTGGTTGTTGCTCATGGTGGTGACTTAGCAAGGCACATCCTCTCATCTGCCCCTTTGTCCTGTCAGCGACACTGGCCTCCTGGCTCTGAAGGAGCTGCCTGAGATGAGGGTGATGGATGAGTGGCCGAGCCCAGAATGGGTGCGTCATAGAGCAGCCTTGGCCATGGGGCACAGGGGCGGCCATGACAGAGCTGAGCCTAGACATGGACCTGTGGGCTGCAAGGTGGCAAAATGCTCCGTGGAAGGCCATACCTCGGTGCTTCCTGCACATGCCACTTCCCTCCCTCACTAACCCCACCCAGTCCCTGGCCCGTGGAGGTGTTTCAGGCCACGACCCTGACTAACCAGTGAACTATTCCTAGTCATCAAAGTAAGAAGGAAAGGAGCTGAGTAGTGGAGCCAGCCATGGGTCTAAGAAGAAGACGGAGAGACCAGACCATCGCATCATGAAACGTGGCCTGGCTGGCACTTTCTGATTCTGAGCAGCTTTGGTTAAATACTCCCTGTCTGTTTCTCCAGGTTGGGCCTGTCTCAGCTGCTTTCCTTCCTTCCTCCTCATCCTTCCTTCCTCCCCACGGACTTTGCTCTCTTCTTTTATCACTGGAAGAAACCTATACCTGGGGCAGCTGGGTTTTCAAGCTGAACTGATGCTGAACTTGGCTGTGATGGAGCAGGTGCCAACACAGGGCAGACCCCTCCCTGCTCAGCTGCCCATTGCGTTGGGAAGACCAAAGGAGACCCCAGCTCCTCACCACCGCTCCACTACCCAGCCTGGCCCAGACACAGACATAGACACAGAGTTTCTAGAAGTTGCCCGCCATTGACACAATGGCCCTACCTGTCACCGGGAACTGTGCCTGCAGGATGGCCGCGATGACAAGCGCCTTCCACTTCATGATGTCCTTTCCCCAGGATGGAGCCGGAGGCAGAGGCTGAGGCAGCTGAGGTAGGACGGCAGAAAGAGAGGAGTCTCTGCGGGCTTTGTTCTGTTGCCTCCTCAGGAAGTGGAGGACTGTGGGCTTTTGAGAAAGCACCTGCCAACACCAAGAAACTCGCACTCCCCCTTTTGGTGCATAGGCAGGAAGCTCCAGAGGTTTGAGGGTTTGGGGTGTGTGTCTGTGTCGGCCTGTTCAAGTTTTGCTTTTTCTCTCATTTGCTCGTTGTTTTAATGTTCCTTTTTTCCCCCTCCTAATTCTTGTCTAACTTTAATCTAATTTCTATTTTGACTGGCGAAGTTGGTCTCTAGGCTGGTATGAGTACCTGATGCATCTAAGCACATTTGCCACCTTCCCAGACCCTCAGATACTTTATGAGCGTTGGTAAATAATAGGCTTTGGAGTCTGGTCAGGCAAAATGAAGAGACAACTTGAGCTCTAGTGACAGCTCTAACCACCACCTACTTGCTGTGTGGTCTTCAGAAAGTTACTCAACATCTCTAGACATCAGCTTCCTTGTCTATAAAGCAGAGAGTTGGAGTAGACTTGAGATTGCAGATCTGAACTGGACCTGAATTTGGACCATAGAATAGTTTGAAATACTGTAGTTTACATAGTATTTTAAACACTTTTATTAGTTGTTGACACTTAAACATGGGAGTAATTTACAATAATAAAAGATTAAAAACTGGACATAAACATTATAAATATAATAGATCTTTATAAAACACATTTTAAAACTTTGCTGAAGAACATAGAAAATACTTGGGCCAAAGGAAAGGCATCTCTTTCTTTGATGGAATCTCCTTAAGAAGACCACAATTATCCCTAAATTAATCAATCTATCTCATTGAAGATCTCAACAAAAGTTATAGAACAAGATAAGCTAAGTTCCCGAAAATTAGCTGGATGTGTGGATCATGCCTACAATCCCAGCTACTCAGAAGGCTAAGACAGAAGAATTGCCTAAGCCCAGGAGGTCGAGGCTGTAATGAGCTGTGATCATGCCAGTGCACTCCAGTCTGGGCAACAGAGTGAGACCTCGACTTAAAAAAAGATATAGAACGTTCAATTACCCTTTCAAAAAAATAGTCAAATATTTCTAGTTCTGTTCTTTATTTATCTAAATATAGGTCTTTAAAAGAATTGCAAAGTAAGATTTCTAAAAAATAATATCTTAGATTTAAACACGTGGTAATTTTCTCTAAGAAATGAGCCATCAATAACCTTTATGAGAATAAAACTTTGATGACTATAAATTTGGACCAAATCCACAGCTAAAGAAATCTGCACTGTAGGTTGCTGCTCTATTTTTTAAAAAAAAGTAAGAAAGAAAAGAAAAAGATAAGCTGATTCCAAAGTATATATATATATATGTATATATATATATATATATAAAATAATGTACAAGAATGGCTAAGACGCCAAAAGTACAGCGATCAAAGACAAAATTAAAAATTTTTTGTGCATCAAGAAGTGAGAGTGCTGCAAATCACTGTATCCCTCTAATGATGGAAACAGCATTCCCACCATCGAAATGGGAACCTACTCAGAACCTAAATTGACCCCAAGGGGACCTGTGTGACATCAGTGAAGGTTGCCATTGACATTGGGTAGCGACACATTGACAGGGACCATATCTACCAAGATGAGGATGAAACTGAGGAGGCCATCTGGAAGAAGGTAGCAGAAAGATGCGGAGAAGGATGACCCAGAGATGGTCCACTCAACCCTGGAGAAGTTGCTCAAGGTAGTCCTCCAGCTAGATCATGTGGATCTATACATTACTGAAATGCCCATGGCCCTTATGGAGATGAAATCTGCCCTAAAGATAGGCTGGCAAATGGCTACATCACAAGTCAAATCTGCAGTTTGGAAGCTTGCAAAGATACAGGCTTGGTGAAATCCCTAGGAGTAGCCAATTTTAACCGCAGGCAGTGGAACTCTTTCTGAACAAGCCAGGACTCAGACTGAAGCTAGTCAGCAACCAGATTGGGGCCATATTTCCCCAGTCAAAACTCTCAAAATTTTGCAACAACATAACATTGTCATTATTTCATATAGTCCTTTGGGAACCATATAAATAGAAAAATAGAAACCCAGCCTGGGTGAAAGTGTCTTCTCCAATCTTACTGAAGGATGTACTTCTAAACTCGTTGGGAAAAAAGTAGAATCAGATGGCAGCTTAAGTTGTCTTGTGTTTCTATATTCAGCCAGGAGTGGTTGTCATTCTTAAAAGCTTTAATCCTGAAAGGATCAAGGGAAACTTTCAGATCTTTGACTTTTCTCTCACTGGATAATGTAATGAAGGACACTGAAGACGTGAATAAAAATGTCTGCTTCTTGGAAATGTTTATGTGGTATGATCACCCTGAATACCCATTTCACAGTGAACACTGACTTCAGAAATTTCCTGAACAGATTTTCCTCCCACAACTGGAGGACCCTGGGGTGGGCAATTCCAACAGATGTGGAAGTGAAAGGGGGTTTTACTAACCTCAGACAAAGTGGTGACAAAAATATGCTTAACTTTTGTGTAGTGTAAGTGACTTTGACTCACCCATGTTAAGGAAACCATGTTTAAATCTGTTGAAATAATACTCAGGAAATTATCAGCTAATATTTTATTAGATCAATGTCTTCTAGGTTCCAGACAGAAAAACGTGAGACTTCAGAAAAGACTTGAAGGCAACATATGATGTCAAGCAACTCATGCTCTGGGTAGTGCCAGAGGTAGCCTGTGTTCTTTAGCAGGTTAGCAGGACAACAGAGAGCGTGGAAAGGCAGCGTGTGCCAGTGTGCTGACAGTGGCCTTGAGGATTTGGGCCACCGATTGTAAAACGGAAAAACAGATACAGTCAAGGTAAGATCCACACATGCATTATTGACAAGGAAGTGATGTGCTGCACCCTGAGTAGAGAGACAGGGTAAGTGAAGAAAATTCTTAAGACAAAACTAACTAAACACTACAGTGATCAGCAAAACCATGATGACTTTCTTGTTTCCATCCAATATGTGTTTGTTTAGCTTTTACCTAGTGCAAAGGATGGATAATTACTGGTTCTCTCTTGCATCCTTAAGCGACCTGAGTGTCAACATGATCGGGGATCCACACTTGCATGATTTTACAGTCACTCTTGTCACATTGGTCATGGAACCACCACTGTGTGATGTGACTTGAAACAACCAGCATGCACAAATAAAACTCTGCATTTTTAAAATAAGGCATTTTAAAAGGAGGCATAGTGAAAAAAGAGTCTTTATAAAAGCATTATACTTAAGACATTGAGATTGTTAATGGATGGTTATGTGAATTTTGAGAAAGCAGCAAGTTCAAAAAAACACTGGTAATTTTACTGTATGTAAATTTTTAAAGAGTGAATAAGATTATTAGAATTCAGCAAGAGATATGTACCTACGTATTTTCAGTTGAACTGCAAGAATTGTATTTATTTTATTCATTAACATTAGGTCACTTTCACAAGGCAAAAGAGTTCCTCAAAAATTATGTTTTCCAGCCGGGCTCGGTGGCTCAGCCTGTAATCCCGCGCCTTTGGGAGGCTGAGGTGAGTGGATTGCCTGAGCCCACGGGTTCGAGACCCGCCTGGGCAGCAAGACCTCATCTCGACAATAAATCGAAAAATCAGCCGGGCGTGGTAGCGCATGCCTATAATTCCAGCTACTTGGAAGGCTGAGACGGAAAGATCGCTGGAGCCCAGCAGGTCGAGGCTGCGGTGGCCGGGAGTGGCCACTGCACTCCAGTCTGGACGACAGAGTGAGACTCCAACTTAAAAAAAAATTATGTTTCCCAAAGACCAATGACCTGAACACATACCTTTCTGAGAAATGATTATTTAAAACATTTTGATGTATATTAGTTATTTTCACTGATTCCAATATTAATACTTACAATGCTGCCCTCCAGAAAATATTCTGCTCATAAGCAATAATTACATATGATTATTTGTTCCACAAAAGAAAGAAAAGGAAGGGAAGAAAGAAAGAAAAAAAAGAAAGAGAGAAAGAAAGAAAAGAAAAGAAAACCCATAGAATGAAAGAAAATATTACAAATCATAAACCAAAGAGGGTCTAGGATTGAGAATACATAAATCACTCCTACAACAGCTCAATAATTTTTTAAAAATCTGATTAAAAACAATCCAAAGATTTAAATAGACTTTTAGTCAAAGAAGATATACAAATGGCCAATAAACACAATAAAAAGTGCACAATATTGTTAGTCATTAGAGAAATACAAATCAAAACCACAATGAGATACTACTTTACACTCACAGGGATAACTGAAATAAAAAAGACCATGTAAGTATTGGTGAGGACGTAAAGAATTAGAACCCTCATATATGGCTGGTGGGAATGTAAAATGGTGAAGTCCCTGTGAAAAACAATTTGGCACTTCTTCAAAAGGCTGAACATAAAATTATCACATGACCCAGCAATTCTATTCCCAGGTATATTCCCAAGAGTTTTGAAAACGTATCCACACAAAAACTAGTACATGAATGTTAACAGCAGCATTATTCATAATAGCCACAATGGGAAACAATTCAAATGACCACAACTGAGGAATGGATAAGCAAAAGTGCTAGACACAAACAGTGAAATATGACTCGGTCGTAAAAGGGAATGCAGTACTGCTACTTGCTACAACATGGATAAACCTTGCAAACATTCTGCCAAGCATAAGAAGCCAGACACGAAAGGCCCCACAGTGTATGAGTTCACTTACACGATGTGTCCAGAATGAGCAAATTCATAGAGATAGAAAGTAGGTTAGTGGTTGCCCAGGGATGGGGAGAGCAGGGAATTGGAACTAACTATTAAGAGGTATGAGATTTCTTCTTGGGATGATGAAACTGTTCTAGAATTAGATAGTGGTGATGGTGTGCAACATGGTGAATATACTAAAAACCACTGCCGTGTGTACTTTAACATGATACATTTGATGTTATATGAATTATATCTCAATACAAAATAATGCTAAAACAAAGAAGCAAAAGAATAGTGAAAAATTCTGTAAAACAAGAGTAAGGAGAGTGAAATAACCCTGCCAGATATCAAACATTACAAAGTAAAGTAAATACCATATATACTTACGGTA